GGGTCCAGTTTTTTAAATTGGTCTTCATTGAGGTCCAAAGGGTCCAAAATTAAACTTAGTTTGATTTTAGCAAAAATTGAATTCTTGGGGTTCTTTGATATGCTGAATCTAAACATGTGTTTAGATTTTTGATTATGGGCCCAGTTTTCAAGTTTGTCCAAGTTGGGGTCCAAAATTAAACTTTTTTTGATTTCAACAAAAATTGAATATATTTGGGTTTTTTGATATGCTGAATCTAACCATGTATTTTGATTTTGGACATTGGACCATAATAGGTAAATTAAAAAAATTCAAGTTCTTAGACCACATTCTTTCTGTGTCAGAAACCTATGCTGTGTCAAATATTTAATAACAATCCAAATTCAGAGCTGTATCAAGCTTGAATGTTGTGTCCATATTTGCCCCAACTGTTCAGGATTCGACCTCTGCGGTCGTATCAAGCTGCGCCCCAGCGAAGCATTTTATTGGAAAATAACGCAAGAATGCTTTCACCAACTTGCAAGAAATTGTGGTGAATTGTTTATATCTATTGACATGAGCTCCCTTTTGATTTTTATATATTTTAGATTTTACGTTTCAGAGTTACAGGGTTTTATTCATAAAAAAAGGGGAAGTTTCCAGTTTTCGGATAAAAAATCAAAAATGCTTTCAGCAGTTCTTATGAAACTTTGGTGAATTGTTTATATCTATTGATGCAAGCTCCGTTTAGAATTTTATAAATTTTACATTTTACATTTTTGAGTTATGGGGTTTTATTCATTAAAAAAGGGGGGATTTTCCAGTTTTCGGACAATAACTCAAAAGATTTGTGGTAGTATATTGGTATGACGTTGGCGTCTATGTCGTTGTCGTCTAGCGTCGTCCGAAGACACATTGGTTTTCGCACTCTAACTTTAGTGAATGGATCTCTATGAAATTTTGCCATAAGGTTCAATACCATAAAAGGAAGATTGGGATTGGTTTTGGGGGTTATGGTACCAACAGTTAAGGAATAAGGGGCCAAAAAGGGGCCAAAAATAAGCATTTTTATACGACCACAAAAAAAATTTTTGCGGTCATAAATTGGTTATGACGTTGGCGTCGTCGTCTTCGTCCGGTGTCGTCGTCGTCCGAAGACACATTGGTTTTCGCACTCTAACTTAAGTTTAAGTGAATGGATCTCTTTAAAATTTTACCATAAGGTTCAATACCACAAAAGAAAGGTGGGGATTGATTTTGGGGGTTATGGTACCAACAGTTAAGGAATTAGGGGCCAAAAATAAGCATTTTCTAGTTTCCAGACAATAACTGTGGAACGGTGTATAGATCTCTCTGAAATTATACTACAAGTTTCCATACCACAAAGGGATGGTTAGGATTTGCTTTGGGGTGTTATGGCTCAAACCGTTTAGGAATTAGGGGCAAAAAAGGGGGAAAAACAAGGTTGTCCTGGTTAATGGACAAATACTTTAGTACAAAACATAATTTAAAGCAGTGTAAGGGAGATAAATCAAATACATCATTGAAATTATCTCCCTTACACTGCTTTTAAATTATGTATAAAGTAATGGTTAATGAACAATTAAGATAATTTAAAACAGTGTAAGGGAGGTAATCCAAATACAACGTTTTGGTTCATTCCCTTACACTGCTTTTAAATTATGTTTAAAGAAATGCATATTTATAAAGGAAGACCAGTAAAAATATCTGCAAATGTTGCATCTTTTTTTTTTACAAAAAAATCCATATGAAAGATTTGACACTATATTTTAAATTCTATTATAAAATAGATTAAGTTAGCACTATGGTAAATTTAAATGGGTAATTATGGTTGCAAACTCCATTGGAAATTTGATTGAGATTATGACCATATCTTGAGGGAAAGAATTTTTTGGGGGAAAAAAGGGGGGGAGGTGGGTAGAAAGAAATTGTGGGAGGTCAATTTTTTCTCATTTCAGATTTCAGAAATTAAAAAGAATTATTTTTCAAATATCATTTTTTTTTCAAATTTCAAATATTGAAAAATTTCAAGAAGTAATCTTTAATTGCACAGTATGGCGCATTAGATTTGTAAAATCTTTGACCACATTTATTTATTTGTAATGTGTATTTAGATTATTAATTTTGGGTCCAGTTTTCAAATTGGTCTACATTAAGGTCCAAAGGGTCCAAAATTAAACTTAGTTTGATTTTAACAAAAAATGAATACATGGGGTTCTTTGATATGCTGAATCTAAACATGTATTTAGATTTTAGATTTTTGGCCCAGTTTTCAAGTTGGTCCAAATTGGGGTCCAAAATTAAACTTTGTTTGATTTCAACAAAAATTGAATATATGGGGTTCTTTGATATACTGAATCTAACCATGAATTAAGATTTTTTATTTGTTGACCCCGCTATCAAATTGGTTCATATTGAGGTCAAAAGGGTCCAAAATTAAACTTCGTTTGATTTCATCAAAAATTGAATTATTGTGGTTCTTTGATATGCCAAATCTAACCGTGTATTTAGATTTTTAATTTTGGGTCCTGTTTTTTAAATTTGTCTACATTGAGGTCCAAAGGGTCCAAAATTAAACTTAGTTTGATTTTAACAAAAATTGAATTCTTGGGGTTCTTTGATATGCTGAATCTAAACATGTGTTTAGATTTTTGATTATGGGCCCAGTTTTTAAGTTGGTCCAAGTTGGGGTCCAAATTTAGCCGTTTTTTTGATTTCAACAAAAATTGAATATATGGGGTTCTTTGATATGCTGAATCTAACCATGTATTTAGATTTTTTATTTGTGGGCCCCGCTATCAAATTGGTTCATATTGACGTCAAAAGGGTCCAAAATAAAACTTCGTTTGATTTCATCAAAAATTGAATTATTGGGGTTCTTTGATATTCCAAATCTAACCGTGTATTTAGATTTTTAATTTTGGGTCCCGTTTTTTTAAATTGGTCTACATTAAGGTCCAAAGGGTCCAAAATTGAACTTAGTTTGATTTTAACAAAAATTGAATTCTTGGGGTTCTTTGATATGCTGAATCTAAACATGTGTTTAGATTTTCGATTATGGGCCCAGTTTTCAAGTTTGTCCAAGTTGGAGTCCAAAATTAAAATTTGTTTGATTTCAACAAAAATTGAATATATGGGGTTCTTTGAAATGCTGAATCTAACCATGTATTTTGATTTTGGACATTGGACCATAATAGGTAAATTAAAAAAATTCAAGTTCTTAGACCACATTCTTTCTGTGTCAGAAACCTATGCTGTGTCAAATATTTAATCACAATCCAAATTCAGAGCTGTATCAAGCTTGAATGTTGTGTCCATACTTGCCCCAACTGTTCAGGGTTCGACCTCTGCGGTCGTATCAAGCTGCGCCCAGCGAAGCATTTTATTGTAACTTCCAGACATAACTTGTGTGTTAGTGTTTGGATCTCTCTGACATTGTACCACAAGGTTCCATATCACAAAGGGAATGCTGGGATTGATTTTGGGGGTAATTGCCTCCAAATTTTAGGAATTAGGGGCAAAAAAAGGGGCAAAAAAAGCATTTTTCTAGTTTCATGACAATTACTTGTGTGTAAGTCTATGGATCTTTTTGAAATTGTACTACAAGGTTTCATATCACAAAGAGAAAAATGGAATTGAGTTTTGGGGTAATTGCCCAAAACGTTTAGGAATAAGGGGCCAAAAAGGGGCCAAAAATAAGCATTTTTCTAGTTTCCAGACAATAACTTGTGTTCAAGTGTATGGATCTCTCTGAAATTGTACCGAAGGTACCATACCACAAAGGGAAGGCTGGGATTGATTTTGAGGGTAATTGCCTCAAAATTTGAGGAATTAGGGGCCAAAAAAGGGGCAAAAAACAAGCATTTTTCGAGTTTCAGGCCAAAAACTTGTTTGAAAGTGTATGGATCTCTGTGAAATTGTACTGCAAGGTACCATACCACAAAGGAAAGGCATGGATTCAGTTTGGGGGTGATGAATCATAAGGGGGTTCATAAAATTTGGGGGGGGGATTTTTTTTTCCTTTTTTTTCTTTAAAATTTTCCATTTTAAATTGGTTTTTTCTGATTTATATATAATCCAATGATAAAAATCAATTCTCTTATGGAAGTCGACAAAAAACATGCCTTTAAAATATGAAACACAAAAAATGTTATATATAAAGGCAAATAATAATGATATGGTTTGAATAGGTAAATTAAAAAAAATTAAGTTCTTAGAGCACATTCATTCTGTGTCAGAAACCTATGCTGTGTCAAATATTTAATCACTATCCAAATTCAGTGCTGTATCAAGCTTGAATGTTGTGTCCATACTTGCCCCAACTGTTCAGGGTTCGACCTCTGCGGTCGTATCAAGCTGCGCCCAGCGGAGCATTTTATTATAAATTTCTAATATGACATTGAGAATTAATTGAACTTTATTTGTTTATAGTCTGACAACAGATTTACTAAGTATTGTGCAACAGCACAGTGTATTGCACAACAGCAAGAAATCTTTAATTGAATGAAAATTTAATTCATATAACCAATTTCAAGTTCTTTGACTACATTTATTCAGAAACCTATAATATGTCAAATATTTAATTACAATCCAAATTCAGAACTGTATCAAGCTTGAATATTGTGTCCATTTTTGCCCCAACTGTTCAGGGTTGGACCTCTGCAGGCGTATCCAGCTGCGCTCAGGGAAGCAGTTTATTACATTCTGGCATATTGCATATTACCAAAAGGATATTTACAATTCTTGCATAAATGAATGCAGCAAGTGATCCTTGCACTGTAGACAAACAATAATTGAATGGCTTTATATTCACTTGAATTCACTCAAATCTAGAAAAGGTGAAAATAAATATCAAACTGGCATATTTTTGCAAGGTGAGCGATTCATTCAGACTTGAAGGAGTTTCTAGCATTTAGTAAAATATTTCATACATGCACTTATCCAATTTTACTTAATTATAATTTAAGTGGCACTATGACATATTCAATAAATAAAACATTATTTTTTTTAATCTATTTCAGAGATTCACACAGTATTTGGCCTCCAATAACTGTACTTTTAACCTCAGTAACTTTATAGATAAAGCTGGAGTTCAAGGTGAGAAACAAGAAACTCGAGGTGATTTAGTTAGTTCAATTGCTAGTGTTTCAGTTCCTGAAACATAAAAGTTTATACTGTTAAGGTAACACGATATCGAATGGCATATCTCCCAATTTCTAAAATTTTTGGCACACTGGAACTTTGAATCGAGTTACATCGGAATATGAAATAAAAAATGCGAGTCACCATTCTTGTTTTTTTGTAATTTTGATAAGTAAATGTCAATTTTGGCGCCAAATTTACATAGATATATAGGGAAAATGCCTTTTTTTCGACTTACTTTTTTAGATTTTTCAATGGATGGCTATTTTCTCATATACGGAGAAAGACTAAAAACTAACATAATATCCAGGATTGTACACCAAATCCATACATGTATAAAAAAACATATGTCACCATCCTTGTTTTTTTAGATAAATCGCTTCAAAGATGACAGATACGCTTAGAAATTGACAAAAATATGTGACGATACGGAATACAGAATAACGTTATTTTTATTCAGAGGGATTGAAAAAAAATTTGTAAGGGGATCTGAATGATATTTGTTATTTCATTTTCATTCCCCCTGTCGGAAATTTCCTAATAATTCAATATAACATCTAATGAGTTAATTTTATTTTGTCCTAACTGGGTGCACTTTTAGCTTTCAAAACTGAATCTTCAACTTTACTTAACCCTATATATCAAACTAGACAATGCTGATGACACTGATGTATCCATGCATGGATAAAATAAAGTGCCTCAAAAATTTTATGTAAACAGTGATATTGAAGTACAATTTGAATTGATTGATTGATTGATTGCTTAACGTCCAGTGGCAAATATTTCATGGATTTTCAGGACGATACAATACAATTTGAAAAGTTATGTCTAAAAGACACATTTGATGCAGCCGTCAAAAAAGATTACACATTCTGTTAGTTGTAAAAATTATAAAGAAAATCAACATCCTGATACAATACGTATTCTATAAATATAGTATACTCTTTGTGATGTAAACGTGTGGGTTGTGTGCGTAGTTAGTCAGACAAACCTTGCAAACTGTATGCAAAATTTCACTTGAATAGACAAAGTTCAACATTCTGTCATTCGAGGAAAATTTTAAAAAAAGCGATCCTGAGAATATATTATCAAAATGCCAAATTCAGCAACCTGTAATAAAAAAATTAAAATCTGACAAGATGCGCGTATTGTATATATGTACTAACACCACTGGCAGACCTATTTGGAAAATCACCGCAATTTTTGTAAAAACTCCGGTGTTTTTTGGCTAATCTCCGCGAAACGGATAATAATTAGAGGTTCATCGTAAATTTCCTGTATTACAGGATATTTTGCATGTTATCCGGAGATTTTCTGTGTCGGCGGGAATTAGCCGTTTGTCCGATAAAACTGGTGTGTATTGAGTCATTGATAGAACCACTGATGCGTGAGCGACGGTTATTAATAGGTCGTTGTATAATCCGTTATGCGTGAGCGACGGTTATTAATAGATCCTTGTAGTGTGGTACAAATTATGATATATAGATGTTTACAGAAGTAAAAACAAAGTAACTATAATCATTTGAGATATAAGGAATTTTCAAAAATATATCATATAATGTTTCTGTAAATTTAGAGAGAAACAGATTATATATATCTGGGGATTAGATGGTTACTTTTTTTAATTATATGTCAGAGGCCGCACATCATTTAATTGCTTCTAGAACCGTTTATTGAAACAAAATAAAATGAACGGCCAGGGGAAAGTCTTTAGTAACCTTAGTTGGTATCAGGGGTCAACTGGGTTGAGTTCAATATCGTAGCGGCTATGTAGTTGCTATCAATATCTATGTAGCAGCTAATCTATAGCTACACGTTCAATAGTAAAAATCTACATAGCACTACATAGCCGCTACGATATTGAACGCAACCCTGGTAATACATAGAGTCAGACCGTCGTTGCATAATATGTATATGTATTTACACACAATGCAGTGCATTTAAACTCGATTTCGCAAACTCGTGGGTTGTCTTTTTAGACAAAAAAGTTCAATTTAAAAGATATGAAAGTTGCGTACATGTATACAAGGAATTGTATATTTAACGTCAATGCCTGTCTTGTAAACTAATCTGTTACACTTTGAAATGTAAATAAGTTCTATTTAAAAGATTGGACGGTTATTTCACATGAATAAAAGTTCTTCTGATCATTTTTGTTTTACAATGATTTTTGAAAGTGCGATCTTAAAACTAAGTTTGTCCAGACTTGCATGGAATATTTGCCACTGGAAGTTAAGCAACTAACAATCAATCATCTTAAAATAAAATAAATATGCCCGAGCGATAATATTCTTAAATTTTTATACGACCGCAAAAATTAAAAATTTTTTGTTATACGACCGCAAAAATTAAAAATTTTTTGGTTGTATATTGGTATGACGTTGGCGTCGTCGTCGTCCGGCGTCGTCGTCGTCGTCGTCGTCGTCGTCGTCGTCGTCTGGCGTCGTCCGGCGTCGTCCGAAGACACATTGGTTTTCGCACTCTCACTTTAGTTTAAGTCAATAGATCTCCATGAAATTTTACCATAAGGTTCAATACCATGTAAGGAAGGTTGGGATTGATTTTGGGGGTTATGGTACCAACAGTTAAGGAATTAGGGGCCAAAAAGGGGCCAAAAATAAGCATTTTTGTAACTTCCAGACAATAACTTGTGTGTAAGTGTATGGATCTCTCTGACATTGTACCACAAGGTTCCATATCACAAAGGAAAGGCTGTAATTGATTTTGGGGGTAATTGCCTCTAAATTTTAGGAATTAGGGGCCAAAAAAGGGGCAAAAAACAAGCATTTTTCTAGTTTCATGACAATAACTTGTGTGTAAGTGTTTGGATATTTCTGAAATTGTACTACAAGGTTCCATATCACAAAGGGAAAGCTGGAATTGAGTTTGGGGGTAATTGCCCGAAACGTTTAGGAATTGGGGGCCAAAAAGGGGCCAAAAATAAGCATTTTTCTAGTTTCCAGACAATAACTTGTGTTCAAGTGTATGGATCTCTCTGAAATTGTACTGCAAGGTACCATACCACAAAGGGAAGGCTGGGATTGAGTTTGGGGGTGATGAATCATAAGGGGGTTCAAAAAAATTTGGGGGGGGGGGGGGTTCTTTTTTTTTTCTTTTAAAATTTTCCATTTTAAGTTGGTTATTTCTGATTTATATTTAAAAGCAAATAATAATGATATGGTATGAGATACACACCAAACAGGATGTGTAAATTATTATCTAATAAGTATTGTGCAATAGCAAGAAATTTTCAATTGCACAGTATTGCACAATAGCAAGAAATCTTCAATTGCACAGTATTGCGCAATAGCAAGAAATCTTCAATTGCACCGTATTGCGCAATAGCAAGAAATATCCAATAACACAATATTGCGCAATAGCAAGAAATTGTCAATTGTACAGTATTGCGCAATAGCAAGAAATATTCAATTGCACAGTATTGTGCAAAAGAAGATACTTCGTATAAATTGCTTATTTCTTGATCAATTTCAATGGGGTTTTATTCTTGAATTCTTGGGGTTCTTTAATATGCTGAATCTAACCATGTATTAAGTTTTTGGATTTTGGGCCCCGTTTTTAAATTGGTCCACATTGAGGTCCAAAGGGTCCAAAATTTAACTTTGTTTGATTTCATCAAAAATTGAATTATTGGGGTTCTTTGATATGCCGAATCTAACCGTGTATTTAAATTCTTAATTTTTGGTTCCGTTTTCAAATTGGTCTACATTAAGGTCCAAAGGGTCCAAAATTAAACTTAGTTTGATTTTAACAAAAATTGAATTTTTAGGGTTCTTTGATATGCTGAATCTAAACATGTATTTAGATTTTTGATTATGGGCCCAGTTTCAAGTTGGTCCAAATCGGGGTCCAAAATTAAACTTTGTTTGATTTCAACAAAAATTGAATATATGGGGTTCTTTGATATGCTGAATCTAACCATGTATTTAGATTTTTGATTTTTGGGCCCCGTTATCAACTTTGTCCACATTGAGGTCAAAAGGGTCCAAAATTAAACTTTGTTTGATTTCATCAAAAATTGAATTCTTGGGGTTCTTTGATATGCTGAATCTAACCATGTATTTAGATTTTGGATATTGGACCATAATAGGTGAATGTCCAATTTAAAATTTTTAAGTTCTTAGACCACATTCATTCTGTGTCAGAAACCTATGCTGTGTCAAATATTTAATCACAATCCAAATTCAGAGCTGTATCAAGCTTGAATGTTGCCATACTTGCCCCAACTGTTCAGGGTTCGACCTCTGCGGTCGTATCAAGCTGCGCCCTGCGGAGCATTTTATTTAATGTGAAACACAATTTCTTCATTTATTAGAAATCACTTTCAGGTCTAATGGTAAAGTGAATATACATTCCGGGATGAGATTAATTTACTATAATTGCCAAAGAAAAAGAAATGATATTACGTTTCTTTTAATTAAAAATTAGACTGCAACAAATGTAGATCGAACATTTTTAATAATGAAATAATGCACGTCAAAAATTTCGCTCACAATAGAGATGTTAAAAATAGATTTTATCAATTGTGTCACTGCACGAGATTTTCCAACGGCGGGAAATATCATGTAGCTATAAACACAGGTGATGTTACTGGCCGATTGTGGAATGTCAATTTAGGGTTAAATTTGATGTGTAATGATTGACATTATTGTGCGCGTTAGGTTGAGGCTCTAGAAGGTTCATTTCAATTGATAACCAAAATTATAAATTCAAGTTTTTTTTTCAAATCAACGTTTAAGTGTAAAATTTTGTGGGAGGGAAACTTTATTTTGTTTGTTTTTTAGGGGCACAGGGAGTTACCATAAAAATCTATAGGAACATTGAATAAACATTTCCGAAGGTCACAACTTGTTAACTAATGAAAACAATGATAAACATTGCTGACAAGCGTAAACAGTTGTACATTACTTAGAAAATAGAGAGAGTGAAAAAAAAGA